GACGGAAGCATTTTAATGACTAGTTCTGGAGCATTGGTGGATATTGTAATCAGTTGTTTCAAACCTACAGCACCTCAGCACACAGCAGGGTGTACAGCACGAGGAATTCACTAGTCTGGCTGGTTTAGGGCTGCTGAGACTTGCTGCATATATTGTGGCACTCTTTTTGGCAAGAAGATAGTTTTTCAGTTGCCATTAGGAAAAAGACTGCTAGAAGGGAATTCATTAAATATTCTACTATTTTATTGCTTATGAAAATAATTCTGTAGTCTTCTGTATTTTAAAAAAATCAGTAGTTAGGTTATGTGAATATTTTGTTACTATTTTATAAATGTTGTTCTTAGAAATGGATCATAGAAGACTCATAGTCTCACTTGGCTCTGAATAGCTACAATGCTTTAAGAAAAAGAAAAGGTCTCACTATCCTGCTTTAAGAAATTAAAGAGGACTCAAAGAATACATATATACATCCATTATAGACAAAATACTTTGATAACAAGTCAGGAACACTTGAATGTTCTTCCTAGAACGGATCGTGTTAATCCAACCATCAATGAAATAAAGATTTCCATTTCTGCACAACCTCACTGTGCAAATGGAGTTGTAGCAAAAGTTGTAAGCAGATGAAAGGTAGACACCAAAGAAAAGGATTTTCTAAGTAAATAATTTACACAAAAGCTACCTCCTCTTGCTTTCACACTGACAGGACAGTATGTTACAGAAAATATTTTATGTATTTTATTATTTCATAAATGATCACTTGACATGAAAAATGTTTAATGAAAGAATCACTAAGCGAAAGAAAAAAATATGCCTTCATCCAAAAAAAAAAGTATTTGTTGGACGTGTGCTCACCAAGAGAGCAAACCTTGGGAGCTATGACTCGCACGTTGGCCAACAAAGATGAGTTTGGTGGAAAAGTAACTACAAAGCTGCTCAGCACTGAGTTCAGGCACGCATTAGTTCAGTTAACACCACTGCTTACTGCAGGAGAATGAACAAAAAAACATTCTAAGTGAAATACATAATGGCTGAAGTCTAGAAGTTCATGTTTTTCAGTATGTGCCTGATTTTTTGCTGGACTTTGTAAAAAGCATTCACTCACAGCATTATCAGCATAACGCAGAGCTTGCTGGCAGCTAAAAAGGTTCATTTTGGCTTTTGTAAAATGCACACACCACTGAAGAACAGATGCACTTGGACTTTTATATTCCTAAAGAAAATATAAGGTACAAACCAAGATAGTTTACATCTATTAATGCACTGATTTTAGTACATTCCTTGCCAATTTTAAACCAGAGGAGATAAGCATATATCGTGCTACAGCATTACCCGTTTTAAAAGCATCTAATTAATATGTTTTCTTTGTTACAGATGCTGGATGAAAACTTCCTTTTTTAAAAAAGCATTACTTAAGATGATCATGGTAAAATTCTTGGGGTGCGGTGAGGATTCCTGCTCTATCTTACTGCTGCAGTCAATTAAAAAAAAGTTAGGAACATTCACCACTGAATGAATTATTGAATTTAGTTAGCAGTTCAGTTCATTCTTGGATTACTGTTAAAGGGGAAAAAAATCCCTTTATTATTCATCCACACAAATTTTACAAGAATACAATACAGCTATGCAAGTCGAGAAGGAAACGGTGTGTCCCTGTGACACAGATCTTGTGCCTCACTGTGTTCCTATGCAGAGGCACATAGTACAAAGCTACGGTAATTGTTACCAGTTCCCTCAAAACCAGGAGCCTGCAGTACATCAAAAGGTCTGACAAGAGGGGATTAGAAGATAGATCAAAAGATTAGACATCAACAACTTAAAGGATGCAGTTACTACGTAGCAAGAAACAGTTCTGTAAGTACCTCAGAGGGAATTTCAATGCAAGTGAGCCAGGCAGCACGTAGGTGTTGGAGAACGCCTTGGCAATAAGAAGGAAACATTCAGTAGCCCAGGTCAGCCAGTGGAAACGAGCGTACGCAGTAAAACCAGGAGCTGAATCATTCCAACAATTGCAGCGTTCTATCAAACTTGGTACATTCCCTCTGGAATGCAGAAACTTGTGCATTATCCTCTGTGACAAACTGTCCGTTATAATGGACCCCCAGTGAGAGGGTTTGATCTGTCACAGATTCAAAGGAACGCAGCGCAAAGCCTGTTTAAATATTGTGACAGGTTTCTGACAGCTCCTGAGAGCTGGAGACTAGAGGGAGATGGAACCAGTGAGATTAACCGTTTCTACAGTCTGATTATTTCTACAGCAATAACGCAGACCGCACAGTATTGCAACTTTTTCATTACATGGCATCTCGATAAGGAGTTTGCCAAATTTCAGCAATGGCCTGTGCAATCCTGGTTAGTTTTGACTTGCTCCTGCTACCCAGGTCCTGTTATCAACAGCCCTTAAAAGACTTCTGTCCAAAGACCAGGGTGGAAACTGTCCTCGGACAATGACACTGAGTTTCTAGGTGGCCCTGCCTGCTAATTGAAGAAAACCATTCAGAGATCCAGTAATGGTTGTACTTATTTTGATATCAATGCCGTTATCAGCTACTGGCCAACAGCATCACTGCCTGTGCTGTCTTCTTCAGCACAATCCCTGTGCGCCACCCTGCTGTTCGGTGATAGTGGCTGCTTTACTGAAGAGATTCCACAAACTGTCCTTCAAAGCCTGAAGAGATACCTGCAGACTGAGATTGTCCCAGGAAGATGAATTTTATCACTGCGTATCAGTCTTGCATAGCGTTGGGAAAAGGGATGCATTTCTGGGAGGGCGTGTGCTTAAGGAACAAGCCTAAGCAGCAAAGCTAAGCCAGATGTGCTGGATCAAATCCCTTGCAAACAGGAAACCTAACATAGTCCTGAAGATGCCTGCCCATGTTCAGAACTAGCAGATTGGATATTTGCTAGGTTTTTCAGCGAGTCGAGTATGGTTAAGAGGAACGGTGGGAGGACTACAACTGCTCCAGTCTCTGAGACATATAACCAGGCACCGGGCATGTTGTACCAACGCATGTCACACTAGGTGAGTTCTATATGCACAGAACACACCTGCAGCATGATCCCAACTACATGCACTCAAAGCAGCGCACCCAGCAGAATGGACAATTGGGTTTTAAAATGCACGACACCAGTTTTGTATACCTTTTCTCTAGAACTTAATGAAACGTTGGTTTTGGCCTTAAGGTTTGTACAGAAGCATTGCCAAAATAAATGTGGTTTGTTTTTTCTTTTTTAAACTTTTTTTTTTTCCTTTTAAACTGTCACTATTAGATATCGGTCACGTTTACCAAGTATGCCTGTTCCATCTCTATTCTGCACTATTCTTAGGCTGTAATCATTACTGCAATATCTCAGTGTCTCTTAGAAGCTGCAACAGACCTGATAGATCTCAGAAATTCCTCATTTGGCATTTCAGGCAAGGCAGCTGCCTGAAAGCTTCACTAGCCACTAAACCCAAGAGCTGTAAGAAAGTGCTTTTCTCAGCCAAGTCTTTATAAAAAGCTTTGCCTACACTTCCCGCACTCATCCCTCACGACAGCACACTTTTCATCTGCCCATTGTTGCTTGCCAGATTCAGTCTTTGCCAGACGCTGTCTTTGAAGGGCTACAGCTTTTGTCTGTGCCTTTTCTGCTCTTTACTTAGGTATTAAAACTTACTTTCAATTAGCCTTTATGTGGTTATTTCAAGGACAGTCTGTAAAGTAGTATGAGTCTACTAAACACAGCCATCTCATTGGGATACTGAAAACAGGACCAGCCCCAGGAGAGGTGCGTTCTGCACTGATTTATTCCAAGCTGAATTTGGCAAGAGATGGCAGCAAGTCTCATTTTAGTTGGGTTTCTTTTACCTATCTGGACTTTCAATTACCCTATTCCTTTTTCTTACTCAGCACAACTGCTGAAATACTTTCCGTGTTCCATTTTTACCTTGTCCAAGAATGTTCAACTTGTCCTCTAAAAATATGTGAGCCAAATACCATGTCTTGTATGAGTGACATGCTGACTGACAGCTGACAGCTCTCTCTTAGCTCAGTCATTATCTATTTGATACTCTGAAAACAGTCACAGGCTAAAAAAAAATCAAGGTTATCCTCAGTTCTCCCCCTATACTTACAAGATATATCTGTAAGTTTAAGACCTTGTAAAGGGCACAGTAAAAACTAATTTATAAGTGAATATATATTAAAAGCTACAACATACTCTCTTACATTCTGTATGTTAAAAAAAAGTCTTTGTTATCTTAATACTGCAGCATCTTCCAGCAGCTTGTAATAGCTTTCTAATATATTTATCAGCCAATTTGTACTGTTTATCATCACTGAGTATGGGCAATATGCACTGAACACACTTGATTCCACTTTCCAGCACAGGCCTTCTCTGTCACGAGCATCAAACCAACTCCTTCTAGACAGTGTTTCTGTTGACCTCTTCAGTGTCATTGTGAAATCTTTTTCAGTTTAGCAGCTGGTCATGCTTAAGTACAGGCTTCAGGAAAACCAGCTGACACAACTCTGAAGTCTTCGGTTTGTCTCCATGAATATAACATGTCCCAACACAGAATAAACCCCACAACATTCCCTTTGATAAACCACATTATCAAATCCAAAATACTAACAGGTCATTGGCAAGAAACTAGCTGGATCATATAGTAAATCTTATAGGGACTAATAGTTATATTTTAATATATTTCTTAACAGTGTATTTTCTGTTTTCTTAGGCAGAAGAATCATGAAAAAGCCAAATGCGTATCTTTCAACACCAGCAGCACTTAGCACTACGTCTTAATCTAGATTTTTAGAGCCACAGAAGAAACACTGTTCTTCACGCATTTAGTACTATTCTGAGAGAAGGAGAGAGAGAGCAGCACATGAGAACTACCATGAGCAAAATAAAATCGGCAGTTTCTTTTCAATGGGAGAATGTGAAACTGAGAAGGGAAACAAAGTTAATACTGATGCCAACGTGAATGGAAAAACGTCCTTTATACATGAGAAACTTACCAGTACTGTTTGCCCTTGGGAAACAAAGAAATGGCCAGATACAACAATGGTAAGGATAAGATGGCCTGATTCTTCATTTGATTCAAAAACCTTTAAAAAGATAAGACAAAATAAAAATCTAGCCCTGTAAGCACAGAATCTACATTTTTCATTTCTAGTGCAAAATAAGAGGTTTCCAAGGTCAGTGCTGGAAGTCAGGTGTATAATTGACCTGTCAGTGATGCAGCCCGCCCTCCGCTCCCACAGAGAGGAGGAACATTTAACAATTTTTTACTAATAATAACTCCCATCTACAGATTTAACTACTTTAAACAACCATCTGGCCTCTTCCAACTGGATTTATGGTTTTTAATACCACAGGTCACTGCTGAAGGAAGGAACAAAACAACCACGGGCCACTATCATACCATCGATGTGCTTGCACTAATAACTCATGAAGCAAAACGTCTCCTCGTTCCTGCGTTAGATACGTGCAGAGGCCTCACTTATTGCTGTTTGCCACACAGCGGCCTCCGAGACCCCACTGGTGCCAGTTCCAGCCAAACCAAGCGGCCAGTCCCCCCGCAGCCGCCCGTCACCTTCCAAGAGGAGGTGTTTTGCCCGCCATCGTCGCTGCC